CTCGGAAACAGAGAACAGTAATATGCCTGCCTCCCTGGATAATATAAATACTTAAGCATCATGTCAGTCTGTTATGGTTTCAGAAGTAAATCGATGGGATGAAGATGGTGGACTTAGCTGCTGGGTTAGAAATATATGTGGCTGGCTGACCCCCTTTTGGGGGTTGTTTGTTTTGTTTACCTTAAATGCCACAGCCTATGTTGCAAAAGATCTTTTGTATTTAACAACCAAGATTTTAGTCTGAGTTGCATTTTTACCTATTTTTTTTTTTTAATCATTGGGAAGTTTGGCTTTTGTAACTTTGTTGTTGTTAAGTACCATGGAGTCAGTTCCAACTCATAGCGACCCTATACAGGGTTTCCGAGGCTGTAAATCTTTACAGGAACAGAAAGTCTCATCGTTCTCCCGTGGAACGGCTGGTAGTTTCGAACTGCCAACCTTGAGGTTAGCAGCCTGTAACCACTACGCTACCAGAGCTCCTTTTGTAACTAGAGTAAGTCAAAACAAAACAATTAGCTTTGTTTTCACGAGATAGAAAACATTAGTGATTTAAAGAGATTTTCCAATATTGTTTTTGTTGTTTGTTGTTATCACATTTTTGTTTTTTAGTATTTTGAACACCAAATTTCAATATAACTGGTTTCCTACGTATTTTTTTTTTTAACCACTCAGGCATATATAATAATTTATATCTCCAAAGGGCACATTCTGCAAGTCGGCTCCCGGCCACCAGCTCTTAGTCCTTCTCTTCTTAGTCCATGAATCTAGAGTCCTCAGCCGCTCCCCCTCTCCATGTCCCCATCTCTGCCTCCATCTCTGGCGCTGCTGCTTCTCTGGATAAGGTCCCGCATTCTGCTTGTACATTCCTCTCTTGATGGTCCTAGGTCTTGATGGTCCTCTGTTTCTGGACTGTAAGATCAACTACTCCTCTTTTTTTGTTACAAAACTTCTACCTTTACAATTGTGACAGTCGCGATTAGTCATGATAACAGTTATTCACTATTGAATCTTA